CCCCCCCAAAGGAAGCAAACAACAAAAAACAGAACAACAAAAAACAGAAAGATGTGTTATTTGCGCCGCACGACAGAGACGTAAAGTACGAGCTCCTCCACATAAAAGGAGAGAGTAAAGTGACAGGAGACAGGGTTACAGTTTGCCATTGCTACCTTTGACGATGAGAGCGCTGATCGCCTTCTGTGTCCTCGCCGTCGCGCACCTCCTGCGGGTAATGTACTGCGACTCTGTGGTGGGAGGAAATCTGTCCCTGTCCCTGCCCTTTCAGAAACAACCCCACCAGGACCTAAGCAGTATCATTTGATTGTGTTATTAAAGAGTGGAATCTGTAATAAGTCAGATTGCTGCCTTCCCTATCACAATGGCGAAATCGAAGACGCAATACATTCCGCGTCGAGGAAAAATTCACGAAGGCAGGCAATCGATTCTAAAGGCAAGGGCGGCAATAGAGTCCACTGCCTCCCTGCTCGATCGTCGGTTTTTTGTGGTTCCAACGAACGCCCTCTGAAGGCCGAGAGCACCACCACCCCCAAATTAAGGTCAAAAGGGATTATTTTTTTAGGGTTGGGTGGAATAAGCTGCTTCCACGCTAAACCAGAAATTGATTATGGCGTGGCATTTTCATCACAGAAATTTGCATGTAAGCTGGGAAGATACTCTTATCAGCTTTAGAAATCCCCAACAACGAACCCGCTTTGTTCGACACCCAGCATTCCACTACGAGATCGACAGACTCACCCAAAGCAGTCACCGCCCGTTTCATCCCGATGACATTCGATCAATAAATAGGTGACAAAACGACACGTTGCAGGACACGACGGTCTCGGGGAGACCCGGCAACAGCTGCTGCACGGGTGGCGGACGCCCCGGCGCGGGCTCGCCTAACAGCGGCGCCGCGAGCATCGGGAGTAGCATCCCGTCGGGGACTCGGTCGTGGGGCTCCTCTCCCAGCGGACCATCGCCGGGCACCACCAAGAGCAGCGGCGGCAGCTTCAGCAGTCGCGGCTCTGGGAGTAAGAAGTCGTCGAGAAGCTCCTCGGCCAGGTCCAGCAGAGGAGGCAAGCGCTAAAGGGAAACAAGAAAGCTACTCCGGACGTCTGGAAGCGACAGCAGATCAGGCAGCCCAGAGGTCTCCACCACGACCACAACGATCTGTTTCGACTGTGAATATTATGAACACATTCAGTGCGGCGCGAGCACACGGTAATCACGCTTTGTTGGTATACAAACAAATCACGGAAATAAAAGTGTAAATTCATGTGTTTTCTGCCCAATTTCGTTCCTTGCTTTGCTTTTCTTTTTCGTTTTACTCCTCGCAGTAAGACTAGAACATCCGTTCGGTACAGAATGCCCGAGCCCGGGTATCGTCCACCGATAACCCTACCCTCCTGTCTTCGACTGCACTGCGTCTCGTTGCAAAGACTATGCGGGTCGCGGTCGACACGTACGTGTGCAGCACATGCTCGTCCACCAGGGGACACCTCCTCCACCCGCAGAGCCGGAAGTGAGTGAGTGCGGCGAGGGCGGAGGAGGAGGAGGAGGAGGAGGAGGAGGAGGAGGAGGAGGAGGGTGGCGAGGGCGAGAGTCGTCTGCTGGCGCTGCTGGTCGTTACTTGTGCATGAGTGGTCTCGGGTTTGTCGTGCCAACGAGTCCATTACGATCGCCCCGGCATTACTGATGCAGCCCCGTTGCGTGCGCCTGCGTGGGTAAGTGAGGGAGGAGGCGGGCAGGGCGGGCAGGGCGCGGGCGCCTCGCACAGGAGGGCAGATGATGTGAAGGCGGCGCACGGGACGCGATGCGGCCTGAGCGACAGGGCGACTATGTAAGGAACAAGGGACGACACCTTCCACTCTGCAGATGGTGGTGGTGGTGCCCAGTTTGGAAAAGAATTTTTGTTGAAAGTCGACACGTGTCTTTGTCAAACCTGACGACCTCATGTGCACTGTATACGACTTTCTAATACGCAGGTCGCCGGCCAGAGCGTGGTCGCCGATTACCTGCAGAGCATCGTGCGAGATGTGTTCGGGAGTACGCTCGAGCGCCGGGTGCTGCTCAACCTTAACGTGCGTTTAGATTCTCGTTCGTTTGAACAAGGTTCGCGATCACTGGTCCCGGCACAAAGAACGTTCCCTGAGGCTGCACGCTCGTGATGGCGCCTGCAACACGCAGGGTAGGCCAACCCGCCACGCAGCTGTGTTGAGATGGCGGCCCACCCAAGCGCCCATCAAGTGTTGGGGACTCGGGTCCATCTCGGGACCCTGGAAATAAGGGAATGTAAGGCGTAAACTCAGGAAACGTTCCTTGTGGGGCATCTTAGCAGCTTACAGGACCTCGACTTACTTGGGGTTAATGTTCTCTCGGAAAGCGACATCGAGCGTTTTCTTCGTGCAGGTGTCAACCGTGTCCCTCGCGGTGACGCTGGGCCAGGCGGGCGTGGACATGGTGCTGGCCGACGACATCGCGTCCGTCAAGGTGTCGAGAAGGCTCTTCATCTCCACCACCTCGTGCCTCGTCGCGCAGGTGATCCTCAGCCGCCAGGACATCGCGAGGGTGGCTTTGCGGGAGCTGGCCGGCGTGGCCGCTGCCCTCGAGGGGGGTGCGACACTGGAGTAAGTACTGGTGGAGAGGAAGCGGCCATAAAAACGTGAAGCTCGCTCCAGCTCTCTGTGCGGAGCGCGCGCGCTCAGACAGTGTCCGGCTGCAGTCGGGGACCGTGCCAAAACTAGTGCACTGGGCGCGCCTCCCCCGCCTTCCTTCGGCCGGCCTACACCCGCAAAGCTACGCGCCGCCACCTCTCGCCACGCCCCGCCACGCTATACCCCGCCGAAGATGCCAATACCTTACCCTCGGCTCCGCCGAACGCCAGCCGAGCGCGCGATGCACCTTCACACTACGCCACGCCACGCCCCGCATGGCCACTGCTCTTCTCGGCGACCCCCCAATACCCTGGACCCGAAGTCCACCCGAACGGCCGCTCGGCCGCTGCCGAAGGTAGGGTATAGGGTATAGGGGGCAATAAAATGTGCTTGAGGCCGGCTTCACTTGGAGACAAAAGAATAGGCCTCCGCTGCCTCTCCACCAGTACTTACTCCAGTGGTGCGACCGAAGCCATCAAGGTATTAGAAATACAGCGTTTTTAGGAGAGAATATAGGGATAGGTCCTAGGTCCTTTCCTCCCGTCGCTTCACATATAATACGACCTGCGTCCCTCAGCGGTCGCTGGCAGCCGAGGTGCGACGGCTCAAGGGGCTCTGGCGGTTCTACACCTGGTTCTTCCTCGTGACCCTGGTGGGCACGCTGCACTCGATGGTGGTGGACCGGCACTCGGCGGTGACGCGCTGGATGTATGCGGCGGGCGGCAGCGCGCTCCGCTACTCGCGCCTCGTCCTCGACTTCTACACGATGCTGGCCTTCCTCGCGGCCTACTACCGCCTGCTGCACCTCATGCTCACGCTGTACCGGCTGAGCAGCGCGCTGTACCGGGAGCTGGGGCGGCGGCTGCGGGCGGCCGGGGGCGCGCACCACCTACGCTGGGCCGTGGCGCTGCACGCGCGCCTGGACGCGACCTGGCGCAGCACCCGCGCCATGTTGGGCCTGCTGCTGCCCCTGTACCTCATCGTGCCGCTGCTGCTGCCGCTCTTCAGCTCCGCCGAGCTGGTCGTGTTCGGGCTGCAGGCCGCGGACCCCGTGGCGCTCGCCACCTGCCCGCTCATCGTGGTCGCCTTCGTGCCGCAGTGCCTGGCCGGGCAGCGCCTCCTGGACGCCAGCACCGGCGTGGCCCTCAGCGCGTACTGCGGGCCCTGGCTGGAGGAGGCCGTCCCCGAGCGCCGGATCCGGCTCATGGTCATCGACACGCGGCCCCAGGGCGTCCCTGTGCCGGGCCTCGGCGGACTGAGCAGGTGGGTACCGGCCGGGGGCAATGTGATATATTTTGAAGGTGCGAGTGGGATACTTTGTTTTCATACTACACCCTACTTGCGTTGTAGTTATTTTGAGAGGGCCAAGCACGGCCTGCTTTGTGATCACGATGAATTAAACCTGTCCAGGCCAACCTGCCTCAACGCCATGCGGAAGTGGTTTCAATACGTGCAGGTGCTGCTCAACTTCGACAGCTCGCTGTAGGACACAGGCGTCAGCGGCCGCAGAGACGCTGAACCGCAAGTTGACCGACCAACAGCGGACAAGAAATAAATTACCTCTATTATTACTGACAGTATTATCTGCTTAGAACCGCTGTCATACACACTAAGAAACCGAAGCCCTCTTGGGTAAGGCGGTCTAGTACTTTGGACCTATAGGTAAGGTGAATCCCCCCACCAGTGGCGGATTAAGGTCCGGATGACAGGGGGGGGGGG